TGACTACATTTTCTTTTCATATTATTATTATTTTCTCGTGTCTTTTAAACACTATATTAGTAAGAAAAAATGGTTCAACCCCCCTAATTTTTGCCCTCCAATTTCACTCGCTAAAAGACGAGAGAGTGTGAAACCACTTTACATGGTTTTTAGCCATGTATTGGGAGTGGAATTGAGAGATCTCAATTAGAGGATGTAGCACGCTCATATTAGTAATAAGCATGAGTAGTGAGACTCATTAAACTACTATGATATTTACCTATAAAGTATATGAAACAAATTATGGTAAGAAAAAATGGTAATCATAACATTATTATTTTAAGAATTCTTGAGTTATGGATTAAGTGTTCAGTAAAGTGGAGTGGTGTGGGTGTTCACAAGAAGCCAGCTTCAGCCCGAAAGCTGACAAAGCTGCAAGTTTTGGAACTCCGAAAAAATGATTAAACAAAATGTTTTGGAGTTGTAATTTGTAAGTTCTAATAGCTTTATGTGTATGTGAGGCTATCTGATGTAATATTTTGACCTTGTTTTGTTTGTATTTTGTTTGTTTGTTTGTTTGGTTGTTTGTTTTTTTTTTTTTTTTTCACCTCACTAGAGTCCAACTAGAGCCTCTAGTTTAGGGGATGTATCATTGTGATGATTAAAACAAAGGGCCCCAAAGAATTAATTTATTTAGTATATTCTTAAATTTGGTTAGTTTTTCTTAGCTTTTTATAGATAAGTGATTAAAGTTGATGTTTTTTGACGAAAAATGACTAATTCCAAATAACCTCTATTTTTTTTTTCTTTAAAGAAAATAGCCTTATAAGCAATTTATAAAAGGTGCCAAAAAAACTTAAAGTCCAAATTTTTTTTTTTTTTCTTATGCTAAACTGCTATAAAAAAAAGTATATAAAAATAAAAATATATACAAAATTAGAATTTTTTAAAAAGCTTATTTTAACCAATAAATTAAAAAAAAATTTTTTTTTGGCTAACTCTCAAAGATGCCTTATATCAAAACAAACAAAATAAAATTGATCTTAAAATTTTTTGTGACGGCATGAAGTATCAATTTTTGAAAGAAGAAACAACATATTGAGAATAATATTCATACCATCTTAAACATGAATAACAAATGGAATTATGCTATTATATCCAATATTTACTAAAATTTTAGAACAACGTAGTCCTAAATTACTCCGGGGTAAATTCGATTTCAGCATTTAGTTGTGTTAATTTGAAGAGACAAAGAGAGAGAGAGAGAAGAGAGAGAGGAGAGAGAGAAGAGATGAAATAGATACTTCTTTTTTTTTTTTCTCCCCATTTTCTCTTCTCTTTTCCTTCATCTCCAACAAATTTCTTTCAAATTCTTAATTCAAACAAAAAGCTCAAAATATCAACAATTAAAGTTTACAATTGTTTTAGTGGATAAAGACTTAGATGATCACAATCATGAGCTAAGTTCAAACCCCAACAACCTCCCTTGCTCACGCTATGAGAATGTATATAATGTTTTGAGATGTATTTAAAAGGAAGTAGTTTTTCTCTAGTTTGACATGGAACTAGAAAGGTTCAATTCGGTCCACTGTGAATCTATCTCGAACCTATCTCAATTATCCAATTGTTCATCTTATAGAGCCCGCCAAGCATGTTATTCATACTAAAAATCAAAGGTGGGCTGACATAGGGCTTACAATAGACTGGACTGGACCTCTCTAATCTGTGAAAGGACTGGAAAGAATTGATGTTTTTTAAAAAAAAATAGAAGTGTCAACAATTATTCCAAAGACAACTCTTAAGTCACTTTTTCATTGGTCTAAGACTCGCTGAAATATTAAAAATAAAAGATAAAAAGTTTATAACAAAACCTCAATTGTCTATAGGAAATAGGTTCCATTAGAATATTCATAATTTTTTTCTCTATAATTTATTTATTTTTATACCCTCTCTCAAAAGCTACAAGGCCCATCTCCTGAAGGCCCTTGTTGTTAAGGGACCCAAGTTTGTTTTTTAACTATTTTACTGACAAATGCTTGAAAGTTTAGCTACCAAAACTCCTAATTTATCGGATGCCCATCTTTTTTTTTTTTTTTTTTTTTTCCATTTATTTATCACAAGGTGTTTCCTTTTTATTAATTGTTGCTCCTTTTTTTTTTTTTTTTCTCTTCTCTCTCTAGAATACACATAATTCCCTCTTCAACATATATCAGACAATTACAAGGCATATATCTTCACCGTAATCCTCTGCAGTACAATAGTTAGTAAAAGTAGTTCAAAAAAGTGATCAAATAATAAAGATTGAAACCAAACCACATTAAATTTAATTACACATACACTATTTTCTAGATACATTTCCATTATCAAATGAAATAATAAACCTCTATTTTTCCTGCAATTTTAGTTAAATCAAGAGATCATTATTTATTTATTTTCATTCTAGCTAATGGGTTTAGAAAAAAACAAATCAACCATCAAAAATCACATACGATACAAATATCATCCAAACACAACATAAATCTATGTATAGTACAATACTCCGCCACAGAAAAGAGCTACAAAAACACTTACATGAATGGAGTCCCACACAATAGTAGGAATCACACACCCCTATGAGGTTTGGGCCACTTCCTATGGCTGAGATATGCGATTCTCAATCATTTCCTGTTCCCACGGAAGTTGACATTCAAAACCAGTAGTCAGCGTATCCTGCAACATGGAGGCCCATGTTGAGCAATAATGTTAATCATAAATGTCAGGAATATATATGCCAACGTATGACAATTGGACCAAAGGGTTTGCAATTTTTTATTCCATAACTTGATGAAGACCGCCTCAATTTTTCATCATGTCATATTTTATAATTCTAACAGGAAGTCAAACATTTTCATGAATCTTATTTAACAAAACTAATAAAAGTGTAAGTTGACTTGTGAGATAAAAAAAATTAGCCAAAGCCTATTTATATTGCTCAATTCATGCCTGAGACCCCACCTAATGCATTCAATCTAGCCAAATCAATTTCAAATCATTATAACAGCTTGCATTCTATTAAATAATTCGATTTAGTCAATACGGTTGTTACTTCCTGGAAAGAGCCCTATTTGCTAAGCTGTCAAAGAAATATGCAAAGGCAATTTTCACAAGCCCCAAGTTTTCATACTCAGCTGTAGCAACTAAAAACCAGTTCAGATCTCATTTCCTCCTAGTTATCCCTTCAAACAAACACAAAAAGGCTATACTGCAAAGAAACACACAATAGAGAGAATGCCAGAGACTGCTGTGTTCAATCTACTAGCCAACTTTTCACTCTTCTTTCAGCGAGAGGTGAATTTGTTTGAGCGGAGTTCGGAAGAGATCGAGTACATCAGGGATGAAATTCGAGCGCATAATGGGCTTTCCCTCAGAGTTTGCTGACTCTATGGAAGAAAATGACCTGGAACTCAAAGTTGGGTCAAACCAAGTTCGAGATGGCAGCATACGACACTGAAGATGTTCTTGACAATTCAAGCTTAACTTCGCACACAAATCATGGCACTGGATTCCATGGTTTTGTCGTAAGATTTTCTTTCTCCTCAAGACTTTAAAGCTCGCTACAAATTGCTTATGAAGTGCAAAGAATTAAGAAACAAGGTCATCAATATTTTCCATGGGACATCAGAGGTACCATGATAAGATATGGTATACTGGAGCAAGGCTCAAGGTCCGTTGGTGTTAACAACGCATGGTACGATTGTCGTGGAATGCGCTTCTTACATGAAGAAGCTGAGCTTGTGGGCGATCGAGAAGCACAAAAACAAAACTGATTGGGTGGTTGGTGAGGGATCAAGACTAAGTGATTTCCGGTAGTGGGAATGGTGAGGATTAGGCAAAAACCACTCTCGGTTAAAAAAGGTCTACAATGATCGCAAGCAATAAAGAAGCATTCCACAATTCCGGGCTTGGATCACAGTTTCAGAATCATTCAAGATTGAAAGAGCTCTTGAAAGGCATGGATTCACCAGCTCTTTAAAGCAGTCAAGCAACCAGTCCCACAAGGAGTGAAAACCATGGATTGGAACAGCCTAAAAGGAATAATAAATGACTTCCTACGGCAAAAGAAGGTATGTGCTTGTTTTTGATGATGTATGGAATATTCAAGCATAGGCAAGTCTTTTTAGATATACATTCCCTGAGTGGCAACTGTGGAAGCCGAGTAATGCTCACAACAAGAAATACTGATTCAGCCTTATTTCCAGTAGAGAATATAATGGTTATGTCTATGATCTCCAGCCCTTGTTCTCCCCAAGAGTCCTGGACCTTGTTTTGCAAAAAGGCGTTTCAGGAGACAATTGCCCCTCAACATTTGGAAGGACTTTTGACAAGCATCTTGAGAAGATGCGAGGGATTGCCGCTGCATTGTGGGCTATCAGTGGTCTTTATCGTGAGACCAGAGCAGCGTAGCGAGTGGGAGAAGACCTATCGAAGCCTTTGGTGGCTGAACTAGAAGGAAATAACCGACTCTTGGGCATGAAGAATAATATTGTCTCTCAGTTACATTGATTTGGCCTCACTAATCTAAAAGCTTGTTTTCTCTGTACCTTGAGTGGATTTTCCAGAGGACCATCTAATTGAACATTGGAGATTAATTTGGTTTATGGATAGTAGAAGGATTTGTAGAGAGTAAAAGAAGGAGCACCTATAGAACAAGTTGCAGAGGGCTACCTCAAATGAGCTCGTCAAATAGAAGCTTGAATTCAATGTGGCGAAGATAAAAAGGAAAAAGGATTAAATTCTATCGCATCCATGACCTTTGGCGTGAAATTATTGTCGCCAAGTCGAGAGAGCAAAACATTGTAACAATAGCCCACTGAAGAGGCATGAGTTGGCCTGAAAAGTCTGACGCTTGTCAATCTTGATCCATTTGGGACATTTACAACAAAGCAAGCGTTTCACCAGCTACGTTCTTTGCTCCTATTTAGCCACAACTTATTCACCAAGCATGCCGTCCATGCCTTGCATCACTAAGAAATCTAAAGCTAATGAAGGTGTTGGATCTGAGTGGTGCCTCATTAAAGATTTTCCCGAATGAAGTTGTCAAACTAGGCCATCTCACATATCTAAGTTTAAAGGGAACTGAGGTAAAAAAAATTCCAAAGTCAATAGGAAGGCTCAAGAACCTGGAAATCTTGGACCTCAGACACACCTACGTCACTGAGTTGCCTGATGAGATCCTAAATCTCGAAAGATTGCGCCATCTCTTGGCATTTCGATATGAAGAAAAACGTAATTATTATTCTTTTAATAATGAGTGTGGGTTCAAATCCCCGGTTGAAATAGGAAGTTTGACCTCCTTGCAGAAACTCGGTTCAATTGAAGCAAACCACGGCAGTGGCAGCATTGTACCAAGAGAGATAGGGAAGCTGACCCAACTGAAGTCATTAGGCATTATAAAGGTAAGAGGTGAAGATGGTAGGGCACTATGTTCATCCCTTGAGAAGCTAATCAATCTTTATGCATTGTATGTTACTGCAACAGAAGAAGATGAGATCATTGATCTACAATCTCTATCTTTGCCTCCTCAACTTCTCCAAACACTATTCCTGAAGGGACGTTTAGAGAAGTTACCGCATTGGACACCTTCTCTTCACAGCCTAGTGACAGTATGTCTACGGTGGCGCAAGTTAAAAGATGCCGATTCACTGCAATATCTTCAAGGTTTGCCCAATCTGGTTTATCTTGATCTTGTTGAAGCATATGAAGGGGAGGAATTGTGTTTCAAGGCTGGTGGGTTCCAGAAGCTTAAGATTTTAATGCTTATTAGATTAAAAGGATTGAGGCGGGTGATAGTGGAGGAAGGTGCGATGCCTCATCTTGAAGAGCTATATATTCAGAATTGCAAATTGATGGCGGAGTTGCCCTCATGCATTGAACAGCTAACCAACCTTACATTGCTTGACTTATTTGATATGTTTGATATATTGGTTTCCAAGTTGAATAGAGACCTACAAGGTGGGGATTACTGGAGAATAGCTCACATCCCTGAAGTTTGGATTGGGGACACAAAAGATGGTCGTTGGAGAGGAACTAATATGTAGAAGGAGAGTGAAAAAGGAGTTTCTACCAGGTTTGCACTCTTCAAATTCCGATTCCCTATATTCTTTTGTTTTTTAATCTTTTATTTCCCAAGTAGTTAATTTGAAACCTCTTTTTTTCTTTTTTGTGGCAAATAAGTTAACTTTTCTGAATTTGTAACTTTCCCGCAACACATCTCTCAGCAAAAATGGCAAATATGTAATCATTTACAATTATGAGTCTAGTTAGAACCTCTCAGTATTCTAATTGAGAGCTTTTGTGAAATTGTTCAAACTTTTGTAGTTAAATTTTTACCTGTATCTTTCCAGCTGATACTAAATATTATGAAAATATTAGCAGCTCAAGCAATTCTTAACTGGCAATAACAAATGCATTTGTCCAAAATAATCTTACAAGAATTGCAACATCCCAAGAAAAGTCAGATAAAAAAGTTATCCTTAAAATTTGCCAAAGAACAATACCAACTTCAACCTCACAAGTTTAGCCAGCTTGAAAATCTAAAATTTAGATATTATGAGGGACATTTTTTTTCATGAAAAAAAAAAAAAAAAAAAGAAAACTTAGTCTAACAATTGTCTCCTGAACTTGTTTTGGGAGGTTTCCTAGGGTTCAAACCCAACTACCCAAGTTCTCACCCAAAAACGTAGGCCTGGGATACGAATTACAGATAGTGTTCCCACTTATTCCCAACACCCTCTGTGCAATCTCTAAATGTGGAACTCGTTATAAGGTCCCTTCTTTTATCCCCTTGCATCCCTGTGACACAAAACACCACAAATGACCCCTATGGTCAAGTCAAATACAACAATAGGATGATAATCAACCCCAAAACAAACTGACCCCGTATTGCAATTCTTTCAAACAAGTGAATTCATGTATCCTTGCACCGAACTCGCATGTTTGTGTACGTAAGTTGGCTCTTATACCATAAGAAACAACCCCGCCAAGAACCTACCCCAAAAGATATGCACCCAATACTCTCCATGCAAAGTTTTGATCTGAGACTCAGAATACGCTAAAGTGGGTATTGGTATGCAAGTTGGCTCACATACCATGAGAAACAACCTCATTGAGAACCTACAGAAAAAGGTATGCACTGAATACCCTTTATGCAGACTTTCAATTGGAAATTTGGGCCATGCCAAAATGGGTGAAAATACGGGGGGGGGGGGGGAAGAATTGTGTTGGACTATTGGTTGGTTAATCTAGTTGCCTGGTTTAAGGTCCTAGGTTCAACACCCATATTAAGTGCAATATATCATCATCTACACTTATATACTAGATCCCGTACGTAAAGTTCAAATGTGCGACTTGACTTGACACATGCTACATAAGATGAGTTGTTATAATAACAATTTGCAGCAACTTTAAATTATTGAACTTGTAGGCATATCTTTCCAAATTGATTATGTTTAATGCCCAGATACTAAAACTAAACTAATAAAACTTTTACGGCTTCATTGAATTCTTGCTTGTAATTGTTACAAACATGATATTTTAATTAGTTTTCTGTTGCTACTATAAAGAACTAAATATTTTTATTTGATGTTTCTAACTGGGATGCTATAACAAACATTAGGATGACCAAGTTACCGCATTATTGCCCCCCGATCACTTCATTTCCTAAGCAAATCCCTAGTAAAGAAAAAATGATGACATTTTGCCCCAAAACTCAAGATTTGAGTTGTCACAAGTAATATTTAGATATGTTTTATTTATCCTTTTATTTACTTTTCTGTAGATTGGTTTTCTTCCTAGTGGTTCTTTAGATTTTTAGATTAAAAATGGCAATTTGCCTCTACTACACAAAGCATGTAAGAGCTTTGTCGTACACTAGTCTAATGAACAATTATGCAATACACACTGCTTAAAAGTGTACCATATGTTCTTGTTATGATCCAAAGCAGTCTTGGTTAAAAATAATAGTCTTGGTTATGATTTGAAGTGGTGGACAAATCAAAGTAAGGTCAGCCCATGGTCAAAAAAATTGGGGGCATGCATAATTATGAGGCTAGGTCTTGTTTGGATCCAACAGCTGGAAGTCCGGTTGGATATGGTATGCACCCATTTAGGTTAGCCAAGTCTAATGGGTAGAGTTGAAAATGAGAGTAGCCATTTTTACGAGGGAGATTGTGTAATGCGGCTTGCTACTCAATTCAGATTCGAAAAGGAATTGTGGGGGTGTGAAAATAGGTTTCACACATCTATTATTGGAAAAATTTTATTTGACTCCATAGCATTTGGACATATGAACATGGTAGGTATCAGCTAATGATTTGTATTTTCTAATCCTTTCCAAGGCAGGCTCCTCATAAAATCACTCCCCCCCAAAAAAAACGAAAAAAGAATTATAGAGAAATTGAAGACTTGTGCTATTCCATATGCCAACCAAAGAACTGATTAGATTGACTGATTCTGGTTAAGTTCAATGACCAAAGCTGAATGCTTTTAGCGAAGTGTCAACAAATTTAAGCCCCTCATACTAATAAAAAGGATACGTGAAATTAAAAAAAAATAAAATTGACAAGTGATACCCATTTGTTTGTTCAAACTTATAAATTTTGTTATGGGAACTCCATCCATTAACGGGCACAGCAAGTCATGATTTGTCCACATTATGTGAAGAAATCGTCATATTGCTCATTGTTTCCCAAATCACAGAAAAATCTTTAGCAAATACAACATGGGTTTTGTTTTCAATACAAATTTATAAACCAAAATTCCAAGAAATGAAGGAAATCCAAGCGGTGTTGATGCAAGAACATGAACACAACACAACAGAAGGACACAGAAGAGGAGTAACAAGAGTAAGTAAATAAGAGACGAGTGACTCACACTCACTGGTTGTTTTTGTTGGCCCGTCTCTCTGGCCTCTGGATGGTTAGGGCAGCGAATTAAATCCCAAAGAGAGCCGAGATTGGAATCTGGTTTGGGTTACAGGTGGTGCTGCAGTGGAGATGAGAAAAAGGGTTGTGGTGGCGAAATAAATCTGCGAGAAAAGATTTTGAGAGGAGAAAGTAGTTAAAATAACGGCGTCGTTTTCAAGTTTGGGTTGCTTTGAAAAATGATTTTTTAAATAAATTTTAAAAACTAAATCAGTCAATCCCCATTTGACAGGAAAACATTTATCACCATGCTCATTCTAGGAGTACAACTTGGGCAGGGTTAATCTGAGTAATTCGAACCTAATTTAAATTTTTTTAAGACTTAGATAAGATATTTTTAAATTCAGTATGAGTTTGGGCAAAAAATTCAGAAATGCAAATTAAATTAGGACGGGCTTGGGCAAAGACGTCAAACAACCCGAGCAATCTGAAGTCCGAATTATACATATATAGATATATAAAAATATTAAATATAAATATAAATTATTAGCTATTACATGATATTAAAATAATTTAGATTATTAAATCATATTGAATATATATTATACATACAAATAATATAAAATCTTACTTTTTTTATTTTCACTCATAAATTGTAAATGCTACTAGAGCGACATCTCTCTTATATTATATAAATTATTTGTTTTGATGGTATTAATTTTTAATAATTTAATAATGTAGCTGCAAAAAAAAAAACAAAAATTCATTTACAATTCGGGTAATTCGAACAACTTTGGCAATTCGGGTTTAACTTGGGTCGAGCTTGGACAAGTAACCTCGGGTTACAATTCAAGCCTGGGCGGGCGTGGGCAGGTCTCAATACAACTTGGACTGGGCTTGGACAACCTTCTAACTCGACCGAATCCGTCCAAATTGCACCCATACTCATTCTAAAATCATCAGTAATCCTACACGGGTTTGGCTTCCTCCAGTCCAAGATCAGATTGTCCATGATCAAATTGAAGGATAGTATGGAATTGGTGAAAAATTATCACGGGTCTCGTTTCGATAATCTGAATCGCTGAATATGTAGAACACGTCGAGTACTATATACATGTAAAAAATCACATTACTCGAATATCGATAATTATGTGATCAAATCATTTTTGTATAAAAAAAACGGACAGTGAAAAAATAAACAATGCCTAATTTTTTTTTTATTTGATTTGTAACTCATGTTTAATTGCGGTTAGCATTTAAGGTGGTCATAAAATTATTTTTTTGTAACTCTTTTTGTGAATGTGGCAAAAAGCAATCCCTTGTACAAATTATTTTTATTAATGTCCGCACAAGTTTTTCATTCTATACATCCTCAAAGTTATTTAAAATCAAGAAATTAATTGAAAACTTGAATTTGTTTAACAGCATATTTATATCATCAAATAGAATAGAAAAATTCAATATATTGGTGAGTAAAAAAGTATCCCATCTTAATGTATCTAAATTATCTCAAGAGTTAAGTTTTAAATCGCAAAGCTTTTTTATCTTCTCATTTTTGAATCGGTACAATATGACACCTTCACATATGTACATCACCAAGTAGGACTCTTCTTCGGATTCTTCACGAACAACGCCAAGTATAGAGCACTCATACGAGTAATAATTAAGTCTACGCTCATAGTGCCACATTTGTGGGAACACTTGAGCGACCTTCTCAAGATTGACACAATAGTTCACCGTCCCCCTCCATTTCGAGCACATCAAATTGCAATTTTTGAAAGTAACTCAAGTCGAGTAAATACAAATGGCCTTGCTGTTGGACCATTTTAATATCTTTTATTTATTTATTTATTATTTTTTGGTGTAATTTGTAAGGTCCTAGTGACCTATAAATAGTTTCTCTCACCAATTCTTTTCTATACTAACTATTTGTTATACTTGAAAGATTACTAGCCAAAGAAGAGTGTTTTTTCTTGGTGGAGCTTTGGGTTCACCATCTTGTGCAAAGTTGGCCTGAACCATACGACAAGTAGTTGGGCTGTCGTATCTTAGAGGGGACAAGTCATAGTTTCGCGACTGCTGCATCGGTATTTGGATTCTTCCTACCACAGTGGGTTTGATCTCCTTAAAGAAAACGAGATATCTGTGCCTTAACCTGATCTATTTGTATCTCATTT